CTCTCAATAAAAATATAGTTTTACTGATCGATAAAATCGATGGCAAATCATTTGGCGCCGACTGTCCGCCCAATACGGTTGAGATCGTGTTTACAAAACACGGCATACTTTGCGCGACCAGTAGTTTTGTGCCCCAATTGAAGCACTTGGAGGTCGACCCCAGAGATGTGCCGCAACTGTTGGGCGGCTATCCGATGGTCGACAACAAGATAGTGGTTCCCATATCACCGGAGCCTTACATCAATCCGCACGAACTCATACAACAAATGCCCGGTTTGGTCGCCGGTGGCCAACCTATGCCGGTGTACGCCAGACAGCCGGTGCTGTCCGGCAATGATTACAATACGGCAGTCGGCCAACCGATGTCCACATATCACGACAGTGTTAACTACGTTAGCGATCACATCGATCGCCGTCCGGACCTGTTTGAGGACAAGCGATGGCAATACCAGCGGATGCTGTGGGAAAAGTTGCGCCGGGAATCGCTGGCCAAACGGCTCCTTCGTCACAATTATCACCACCAGAAGAATGTCGACAATAATGGATACCATAATCAAAATATTTATAACATTAACACCAATGAAAACAACAACTTTAGAGCAAAAGAAGTGCCGCAAAAGGTATTCATAAGTCTACCGACTGGTGAACATCAAGAGGTGTCCACTCCTGTCAACCAAAGTCCCGGAGCTGTTCCGCAGGCGTCCGAAAGTGAGGCCAATGTTTACGACACAAACACTGAACATGTGTTGAGTCTTAATTACGGGACACGGATTGAGAAACCGTCGGCCGAAGAGCCGGCAGATCCGGCGGACAAGAACTCCAGTCAACAGGAATTGAAAGAATATTTGAATTATTTGAAAAGCAAAGACAAGAGACACACGGATCAGACGCCGCACAGACAACTGGCAGATATCAACGCCTTGTCTTATAAGCCAAAGTCATTGGTTCCCGATATTGTACGTGGATTTATGCCCTCATCGGGACCGCCGCCACCGCCGCCCCCATCGCGGCCACAGATAGCGCCCGAAGAGATGCGCTATTATAGCCCCGACGAGCCAGTGGTCAGCCAATCGCAGCTCAACTATCACTGGACTCTATATCACAATCCAAATAATCGGTATTACAATAAAAAGTCGTTAAACTACTGGAAAGGTGGCGACAATCCCGACATCGATGGCAAAAACCTACGTCTGGTTAGCAGTGGATTGACTTTTGGCCAACGGTTAGCGCCTAAACCCGAGACCAATGCTAATGACAAGCCGTTTGACTACTCATACAATCAGCACAAAGATTACGAGACCCATAGTGTCGGTGATAATCGGCCCCCATATGAAAGTCCCAGCAATTATTTAGACAAACCGGTGGCCGACAGCGGTCTATACGAAGAGGACGTCTTAGTGACAGCGGATCCACAACAGAGACAATACATTGAGAAGTTGGAGGCCGAACAACAATCGGGATCATCCGTGTCCTCCCCGTCGGTGGCCGACAAAAGTCATTCACTACTGTATGGACAACAGAAACAAACCGGTGAACTGGAGACACAGCCAACCGTATGATAAATACCATAATTATATCAATTATTAGCCAATAGTTTGGGTATAATTATTAATTAACCATAATTTTGATGACCAAAACAGATTGAATACAGCGGTTGGACACCGATTAAGACCAAAGAGCAGATACTGATGGATCAGATGAAGGCCGCTCGAGAGGAACAGGAGGAGAGGGATCAGATGATGGCCTCGGCATCGGCTCTGGTCAGCACCAGTTCCACAGCACAGACCAAGCGATCGCTGGACGATAAAAATGATACAAATTTTATACCATTTAGGGGTAGAGTTAGTAATCAGTGGATAAGTATTAATAATAGAGGTTTTTAATTATAATATATTATTTTTTATTATGTTTTTTGTTATCACAACTTAAAGTATCTATTTTTATATTTTTTCTACAAAAAATATGTTATTTAATTGAGAAAATGTTTTTCTCACTTCTGTATTAAGTTTTAGTGTTTAATTGTCCGTAAAATCTATTTATGCTTTATTTTCCTATTGAATATCTGTTTATAATTGTTTTTTGGCAACTATTATGAGCTTTTCATTTAATTATTATAATTATTATTTGTAATTAAATTGTTTATTGTATTCACATTTATAAATGTAAACATAATTAATGATGAGCATCATGTTTGTTTTATTGATCACAAAAATACCCATCACATAAACACTATGTATTGTTTTTTATGTAATCTCATTGTATATCTTAAGGGTAATCGCAAAACAAAAATAAAATCATTTCTTCAATAATAGAGTAATTAATAAAACAATTTATTAAAACCAATTCACATATAAATTGTATTTAATTATCTACTAATAGATTATAAAATAAAGTAATTATTATCTCTTATATAATGAGTTTTTGGTTTTGGTTTTTCGCCACAAAAAAATCACTTTTTTCTACATAATTGAGAGTTTAATGACTTCAAAATGGTATAAGTGTTACAATTTTTATATTAATTTTTACATATAATCTTATAATCAATTGTTGATAAATGCAATCAAATACCTGATTATCAGTCGATAAACAAATATAATTAATAATTTTTGCTTTTTCTGTTTGTATTATACGTATAATTCAATGGAAAAATTGTGTACTACTTTGGATTTATTATAAGATGTTATATTTAAATAAATATAAAAGTAAATAAATTAATGACAATAAAAATAAATTTATTTAATTATCTATTAATCGTCTCTGAGATGAATCTTATCGGGAGTTAAACATTGCAATGAAATAATCAATGATTAAAATGTATTGATTTGTGGATCAGATTTTGCGGTAATTATCGCTCAAATTCTTGTTTCCATTTCAATAGAGATTGTAATTAGAAATCAATGTTTTTTAATCATTTTTATGTGATTTTTTATATTAATTTTATTAACTTTTTTGTAATTATATTCAAATGTTAGTTTAAGGGGTAATTAATATTCACTGTTTTTATATTGAAATACTGTGAAAAATTAAGTAATGTTTAATTAAAATTAATTATTTTGTTTGCTTTTCGTTTAATTATTTGTTTGCTTTATTTATTAAAACTTTTGGCAAAGTTTTAACAGATTTTGGTTATATTTAAACCAATGAACTCATAATAAAATGTGTGATTTTTAATTAAAATATACATTTATGAAATTATTTAATTAGTTTTTATTAATTATTCTTATTTATAAAAATTACTAATAATTTATAATATAATATCATTGTATAGATGTTGTTAATTAAAACAATCCATAATTAAAATTATTTCAACTTAACTAAAATAAACTAGATTTAAAAATTAAATCTAATAAAAAACATGATGTTAACAAAAACATTCAGCATATTTAGAAACTAACAATTCGCACATAAATATTAAACTAGTTCAAAATTCAGATGTTTTTAAGGACTACAGACTAATAAAAATAGGCTCATTGTATGAAAAAAACAATTTTATTGCAATTTCATATTTGCAGACCATATACCACAGTAATATTAGTTTAGTAACAACAGTTAATATAACGTGGTTCGATTCAATTGACAAAGAAAAGCATCATGATTAAATTAGGACTATTTGTGTTTGTAATCGCAATCAATTATGGTCATTCTCTGGTGCCGGAGCTGCTACCAAACACTGATCCATTTTCAATAGGTATAACCAATTCATTATAATTACCATATCATAGAAATAAATTACCATGACCATATACGCAGACATCACGCCGCCTAATCCGATCAAAGAGACCTTGCTGCAATGTTTCAAATGCAAGGCGGGCTCCCAATTGCGAAAACTACTGCACTATTCCTCATACGACGACACGACTTCCTGTAACGACTATAAAGTGTCCAAAAGTAATGCCGTGTTTAACATGACTTTGGGCACTGAAGTGAGTCTACTTCGGCTCAAAGGGCTCACCACTTATACCGTCCATCTGAACGGTCAGTTCCCACACCACTCTCTTTGCAACTGTATATCTATTGAAATACACTAATTATAATCATGGTAAATGTGAGTGCAAATGATCAAGTGTGTTTTGTCATTGACAGGAAACCTGTTGCTGATCCAGAGGGGGTACATAACTGAGGGCGAGTGTGCGGGCGGTTTCTGGGAGAAGTTTGTGATCAACGCCGTGGACCAGAGCGGCTGCTCCGGCACTGGTATTAGCAAACAGATACCCATCTATGCGTTGGCACAGATCACAAACGGCACCTGCGCTGCCGTATGTCCCGGAAAGGTGTCCGTCTGGTTCGACCCACCCGTCAAGAATGTGCTCGATTAAATGATTATCGTGATAACTACCCTCATGGTACTTTTATACGAGATTTTAATCATGTTGTAAAACTTTTCTAATAGTTATTATTAACGTAAATTGAAATAAATATTAAATGATTTTACTAAACTGGTTTAGCAAATGTTATTTGTAAGAGTTTTGTAATAAATCATTACATGGGCTTTCACTATAACTTTGCCGCCGATTATTTCAATATTAATTTCAAATAAATATTTACATGCTAATTTGTTGATGTGATTATGAGTTATTAAAACAATACATGTAATTCGATGCTTAAAATTTGAGTTTTAGTTTTGAATAAAACTTTTTATAGCGACACTTATATCGTTTATAGACTGTATTTATTTTGTTGAAAACACAATGCATAAGATCTTTAAAGCTTTGTTACTACAGTCAACTTGCAATATAATATACTACAGTATATAACAATAAAAACCGGTATTGCATAAATAAACCATGCGAAATAATTGTTAGATGTTTTACTAAATGTAAAATGATGACCAATTTCTATCAAGCTCAATAATTACCCAATTGAATGAAAACTTACCAACACAAAATACAAATGCATGCGTACACTATAACGAGAGTATGTTGTCGTATAGACATATTGAAACCGTTATGCATACGTAAGTCACGTGACAGACAGTCTCTGGATTAGCATATATTACAATAGGTTAGCAATAATTGCGTAAACCGTATAAACAATGGCTCAAAACGCGATCATGTCTTTGATCCCAATCGATGACCACATTATCGATGATATACTCGATGTGGACGTCGAGGACATCGAGTACTTCGACGCCATCGACGACATCGACGACGATATCGGCGAAGACATCGATGACATCGCGGACATCGCCGCCGCAGACACTGGTCATCGGCTCAACGATTTGCTCGACTTCACCACCGATGACGACCACCACGTGATGGCAGACAATAGACAATGCAATCCCATTGAGTGTCAGCTGAATATGGATTTGATTAACAAATACTTTAAGCCAAACGATAGTAAGTGTCCGCCGACTCCCGTATCGGTTCCGCCACTAATCCTATGGTTATTATTATTATTGTCTTCAGTTTCAACCGTTTTGGACATCATTGACAGCCACGAGACCACCGATGATCATGTGTTGAACGCCACCGAAACCAATGGTTTGTTTATTGTTTTTTATGTTTTGTTAATTTGTTTTCATTGTTTGTCTTGTATTTATCACCAGATAATCACTTAAACACCAGTAATGGTAGTAATGGTAACGTAAATAACGTTAATTTGAGCCGCAAATCGGCCGCGAAGTCCAAGAAACGGAAGACAATGCCCGACAGACCGGGCAAACAGTTGCGCTATTTGTTCCAGAAGTTTGGCCTTCGAGTGCTGTCCAATCCGAACACGAATGGCGCCAATGGATCCGCTGTTAACGCCGGGGCCGACAGGATCTGCACCCGTAGTGCCACCAAATCGGATGTGAATCGGACGGAAGAGTCACGCAGTGCTGGGCCGTCAAAAGTGGTCAGAGCTGCTGATGACACGACAGGTGCCGCCGCCGAAGACAATCCGCCGATTTTCAAGATATACAATAAGAGTTGTGCCAAAACGGGTGATAATCGGCCGACAAATGGCAACAAAGTGTATATAAGATGTCACAGCTGTCGACAAAGTCACCGAAAGTGTTCCCATTTAACGGCGGTAACGAACGGCGCGTTCCAGACAAAGATCAGGCCTTTTCCGAGGGCTAAATTGGATCAATATCTCAAAGCCCGGCGAATGGCCGTCACTGCGGCCGCCGCTGAGCCCGCAATGCCTGACACATCCAACGCAGTGACAGTGCGGAAGACATCGTCGGCCAATAGTTGCTCGCAATTGCGTCCAAATAAACCAAACAATCGGAGTCTTTTGGCGGACAACAAAAGCGGTCACAAACAGTACATTAGACGACCAAATACTGGCCTCAAGACGAAGACATTGGTCGCGAAGGCAATCAGTCATAGCGTCGCCGCAATGCGGTCACCAAAACGTGTGCCACAATCGCCAAAAGTGTCGCCAAAAACCACAGTATCTACGGATGAGTCGTCGTCACCGCCGAACCCGAGACCCAGTCCTAAGAGATCGTCCATTGCTTCCACTTCTATTTCCAATGACGGCCGAGAAGTGAAAGTGAAGCCCAGGAAAGTGTGGACCGAACGGGAAATGAAAACACTGTTGTCAGCGGTGGACGTGCGTCGGGTGACCGTATTCAAGGACACAGACTGTCACGTCTATGTCACCAACACTTGGGACTCAGGTGTGGGGCTCAGTGTCGGCCCGATTGCCACCAAAGTGGTCGCGAGGAGACGCCGGTAATCATAAGCGCAAACAAAAGCCAACATTCGTTGGCATTTAAATATTTTTCATTATATAAATAATGTTTTTAATTATATATTTTTAATTCTCTATAATATTCTGTAATATAATTATGTTTTCGTTCTTCAATTGTATTTAATCACAACTAAAACACATTTAAATTATGGTCTCATTTGTAAACTAGACTTTGTTTTGTAATATAAGATATCATTTAATAAAAACTTTATTATTTGTTTATTTTTCTGAAAATTTTAATCAATAGGAAATACAATTACAATTACAATCAATAATTAAATACTACTAACTATAATGCCATGGTCAATTAACTGATTAAAAATACCGGTTCACTATCACAGCACACCTGTAGGTACAGGTGCTATACTCTCAGCCAATAGTAAACGTGTGTTATAGCTGGCGTTAGCCTCAGACTAGACATGCCACTTTTCCTATTTTTCAATTCCCTTCCCTTCCCTTTTCCCTTAAACTATGCAAAGAGGGAATCCCTTCCCTTCCCTTTACAGGGAAGAGGGAATCCCTCTTTTTCCCTTATTTTCCCTTAAAAATTATTTTACACGTAAAATGAGTTATAAATTGTTTTTTAATGATTATAATAGATAACATCAATTTAAACGTTATATAAATCATAATTAGATCTAATAAATAATAATTTGTTAACATTTTGTGGGTCCAGTTGTGAGCGTATATCCTTTAGGGTTATTCCGGCGAAACTGAAATTCCTTTCACTCGAGAGGTTTGTCGCAGGAATTGACAGTAATTCTTGTGATACTGTATAAAGTCGTGGATATATATGTCTATTTTGTTCCCAGTATTCAAGTATTGATAATTCAGTTGAATAATTGTTTACAGAAAGATATGATTGAATTTCCGTTTGGCTATCGTTTGAATCATTCATTTGATTGCAGTTATCACTCGAGTCAACGAAATCTTGTAAACATAGATCAAAATTGTCGGATATTTGTGTGCATTGAGTAGATTTTGGTGTTTCATTTGACTCTTCATTAATTCTAATATTTAAAACATTAATTATTTCGAGTTTTTTCTCATTGGATATCAAATTATTTAAGTGTTTAATAGGAGGGAAAAGCATCGAAGCTATAATATGTTGATCTGATATATTAAAGTAATTTTCAATATTTTTAATGTAAATATTTTTCACGCTTTGCATAATTTCAGAGTCCGTTACACTTGGTTTGCAAATATTTATCATTTTTTGTTTTGTCGGCAAAACTAAATGAAATGTTGGTTTGTTTTCTTGACATAAAAGTCTCAATTCATATAAAACTTTCAAAAATGCTGTGAATTCTTGCAATAAATCTTCATTTATTAAACACAAAATATTCATTATTTTTTTATTATTTAATGCCATAGATTTAATATCATTAAAATTATTATTAATTGACTCTAACATTGCATATACAGAATCCCATCGCACTTCTATTGACTGTTTTAATGTTGTTTTCAATTTACTTTGATTGTCACTGTGCTTGAAATATGTGACCAATTCTTTGCTACTATTAATAAGCAAAATATAATCATTTAAATAACAGAATCCCATCGCACTTCTATTGACTGTTTTAATGTTGTTTTCAATTTACTTTGATTGTCACTGTGCTTGAAATATGTGACCAATTCTTTGCTACTATTAATAAGCAAAATATAATCATTTAAATTATTACATTTAAGTATATCATCATAACTGTGTTTATGAATTAAATTAATATTATGGGCACAACAACTAAACCACTGATCATATTTGAACGCACATATCATTTCACTTGCATTGTCGGTGACATAATATTTTTTAATTGATTGGATATTAAATTCAATTAATATGTCATTTAAATCTCTATTTATTGTAACAGATTGTTTGTTTTCAACAGAAATAGTGCATAAAACTCTTGCATATGTTTTACTATTCAATATATATTGTATAGTAATAGTAATGTATTTCACTTTATTAATACCATCTGTCCAATGGTCACAAGTTATCCCAATTGAACTGACATTTATTAAACCATTTATTAAATTTGATTTAATTTTCTCGTAAACAATATTTATATGATTAGTAACGGCTGAACGTGAAGGTAATATTTGGTCAACAGTTGCATTAGGATTTGCAGACCCGATGGCAATAAACTCTTGAGCTAATTGTCTAAACCCTTCACCAGTAATGATATTTAATGGGCGCATATCTTTAGCTACAAATAATACCATTTTGTCACTTAATTTAGATTTAATTTGGTTAACATTTTTTATATCTTTAACCAAATGTCTTTCAATGGATTCAGTATTTGAAACAACATTTTTATTACAATTTTTTTCATGTCTTATTAAACCATTTGATCCGATATTAGGATTATATTTAACAAGAGATTCACATTTTATACAAAACACAAAATCAGTGACTTTTCCATCTTTAAGTACTTTTTGAAACGATTTCCAATATTTATTATTTGATTTTCCATTTATAAAACTAATAGAAATGTCATTATTTTTTATTAAACATATTAAATTATCTTTAGTTAAAGTGATGTCATTATTATCACTCGACTTTTCACTGCCTATAAAATACTGATTAATCGTTTTTTGTTTTTTATTTTTACCACTATTTGTTTCATTTGAATCCATTTTGGCAACAATTTAGTTATTATATGAACACTTATTTCAAACCATGTGTTCACTAAAGTATTGCACATTTATGATCATTTATTTTATTATATTGTACATTTTTATAGACAATAAGCAATTGTTTTCAATTCATTTAATACACAATTTTTCTACAAAAACTATTTACATATTACAGGGATTTTAAGGGAAAAAGAGGGAAATTTGGTTAAAGGGATTCCCTCTCTGTATAAAAGGGATTCCCTTCCC